AGAGCACACAAGTTGTTCTTCTAAAGAATGGTTAAAGAAGAACCAAGTGAATGTTGGTAATGGTCAAGTCAATGTCTGGACCTTAATCCAATTGAAATTTTGTGGAAGGAGCTGAAGCAAGTAGTTCATATGAGGAAACCCACCAACATCACAGAGCTGAAGCGGTTCTGTACTGAGGAATGGTCTAAAACTCCTTCAAGATGTTGTGCAGGACTGATCAACAGTTACAAGAAACATTACCTGCAGTTATTGTTGCAAAAGGGGGTCAGACCAGATACTGAAAGCAAAGATTCACATACTTTTGCCACTCACAGATATATAACACTGGATCAATTTGCTCAATAAATAAATGGCAAAGAAAATATTTTTGTCTCATATGTTTGTTTGGGTTCTCTTTGTCTACTTTCAGGACCAATTTTGATTGTTTTGAGTCATATTTATGCAGAAATATAGAAAATTCTAAAGGGTTCACAAACTTTCAAGCAGCACTGTATATATGGTGCTCATTTCAATACAGTTAATGTAAAATGGTAATCAAATTGTGTGTCAATAACTTCCAGTTGTACCATTCACCACCTTAGAATCCATTTGCCTTAAGTATGAGTATTCAAACCTATATTCAGTAATTCATCTGGTTATTGCTCATTACTCTTGCCAAATTATTTATTTTTTGTGAGCAGTGAACATGGATGTAGTAATTAAGTAGAATTTAAAGGTTACCAACTGTGTTCTGTTAGGCGGGTTATCAGATACTACTGTGGATGAGGAACTTACTAAATTTTTGCAGAAGTATGGGAGAATTTCTAGAACTGTAAGAATAACAGATTGTCAATCTGAGCACTATGGACAGATTATAATTGAATTTGAGCATGGTTCTGCTATGGAGGCTCTGAGCTCTATTTGTCTACCTTTTTACAGACCCTGTCTTGGCGATCCTACCGTGATCCATCACATTCAGAGTTTTGCAAGTGTGTATAGCAAAACCCGTGGTACTACCTCCACTAAAGCTGATTTATCTGAATTAAAGGAATTAGCTAAACTGAGTGGCAGACAATTTGAAGATGTCCTGCATGAAGAATAAGTGATACTGTTACTACTCAGCCTGTGCTTGATGATAGTGACTCCCAGACAGAACCTGAAGCGCCTCTTTTGTCCCGTAGCCCAGCAGTATTGCCTGGGGAGGGTATTCAAACAGATCCATGTGCATTATCTGTAAACACAAGTCCTCAACCACCCAAGTCAGGTGCGATTCCAGATTGTGTCCTTGGACCCAGCACTCCCATCATGCTTTCACCCAGCCAACTCACCACTTCAGAAGTTCAGCGTGTGGTAGTAGAGCATGTTGTCAGGAGCAATGAATTAGTCACCCAGTCTCATGCACTTTAAAGCTTAAGACTTTTTCTGGCAAAACTTCTATTCAAAACTTTGAGGTTGACTTTGATACTTGGCATGCTAATGTGGATCTCTACAGGAATTATCCCATGATCTTAGATGCAATGGTAGTGAGGAAAATCCTTGGGAGCCTTGCATCACCTGCTTCAAACATAGTCAAACCGTTAGGCCCTTTGGTGTCATCTGAGGCTTACCTTGACTTGCTTGATTCTGCTTTTGCCGCTGTTGCAGATGGTGACGAGCTATTTGCACCATTCTTAAACCTCAATCAAAATGCAGGAGAAAAGCCTTCTGATTACCTCAACTCCGGCTGGATCTCGCTGCATATGATGATTCCATTAGCCAGAGTCCACCAGCTCTCCAGAACCAGAACCCCATACAAGTGGAATCTACATGATTATCCCTGACGGAATGCAGGTGGCAGCTGACCCAGAGATTATGCCTTTATTGCGGTGCTGCTGGGCATGTTATTGTCAAATGCCCCATCTGACCTCCTCGACCTTTGGTGAGTGTTGTCCAAGCTAACTATGTTCATCGTCTCTAGCCGAGACCGCATTCAATGCCCTGAAGCAAGACAAATTGTTGGGCCTTATTCTTCACCAGATTTGATTTCAAGATTGCATACCGTCCTGGTTCCAAGAATGGCAAGGCTGATGCGCTGTCTCACATTCACTCCTCTGACGATTCTTCCGAACAACCTGAGCAGATCCTAGACCCGAAAGTATTTGTAAACCCCATCCAGTGGACACCTGAGGAAGACTAAGCCAGTGCCTCCGAGAATCCACTGCCGGGTTGTTCTCATGACCGGCAATATGTACCAAGAACTCAACGAACCAAACTTGTCCATACAGCTCATTCCTCTTTTGGTACTGGGCACCCAGGGGCCAATCAAACCCACTACTTTGAGATCGTTTCTGGTGGCCCAGCATGGCACAAGATGTGAGAAGGTTCGTGAGTGGATGTACAGACTGTGCCATGTCCAAAACTCCTCGCCATCTTCCATCAGGCAAAATTCTTCCTCTGCCCATTCCAAATCGCCATTGGTCACATCTAGTGGTGTATTTCATCACAGATCTACCTCCTTCTCAAGGTAATACATGCATCTTTGTGATTGTGGACAGATTCTACAAGTCATGCAGACTCATTCCTCTCAAAGGGCTAGCCCCAGCTATGGTAGCTGCCAAACTCCTTTTCAACCATGTTGGTATACCCGAAGACATTGTGTCCGGCAGAGGCCCTCAATTTATCTCCAGGGTGTGGTGAGCGTCCATGAAACTCCTACATGTGACTGTCAGTCTGTCTTCAGGATATCACTCTCAATCGATCAGGCAGACAGAGAGGAAGGTACAGGAAATCAGATGCTTCCTCCGAACCTTCTGCCATAACCACCAGAACTCCTGGAGTCAGTACCTCTCCTGGGCTGTGTATGCACAAAACTCTCTGTGCCAGCAAACCACAGGTCTTACTCCATTCTAGTGCATACTCTATCAACCACCAATGTTCCCATGGTCCGGGGAACCTTCTGATGCACCATCAGTGAATCACTAGTTCCGGGAGAGTGAGAGGGTCTGGGACTCAGCTCAAGGAGCAAGGAGCCATCCGGAGGCAAAAGGACCATGTCGACATCCGTAGATCCACAGCTCCCAACTGTCAACGCAGACAAAAGGTATGGCTTTCAACCAGGAACATCAGGTTGTGCCTACCATGCAAGAAGCTGAGTCCCAGGTATTGGCCCCTTTGAGATCATCAAGGAGATCAACCCAGTATCCTTCCAGTTAAAATTCCCCGATCACTACAACATTCACCCAGTATTCCATGTTTCACAACTCAACTGTATCCTTTCCTTCACAGAGCCTAGTGATGTACCTCCCTTACCGCCAGTCGAAGAGGATGGAGGAGTCTTTACGGTACGAGAAATCTTAGACTCCTGGCGCCGAGGTGGTGTACTGGATTATCTGGTAGACTGGGAGGGCTATGGTCCTGAAGAACACTAATGGGTCCCAAGAAGGGACATACTGGACCCTGATCTACACGTCACTTTCCACAATACTCATCTGGAGAAACCTGCACCTCGCAACAGAGGTTGTCCACCACGACGACGGGGTTATCGGCCCTTAGGAGCGGTCCGTGGAGAGGGGGTACTGTCACGAAATCACCAGCCTCCATCCTCACCCAGTATCAGCGCTCTCAATCTCCTGATTACTAATAATCACCAGCTGTCATTGATCATTCCAGCACCATACAAAAGGACTTGCCACACACACACACACACACACTTTGGCTGCATTTACACTTGGCATTAACATGCAACCTGTATCCGGATGTTGTCTACATACACATTGAAAAGACAAGTGTAAACGCGCTTCTGATCGGAATGTTACCCGATCAGCGTGTCTTGGTCCAGAGGTAGTCGAGGACGCATTGTGATCGGATCTCAGTGTAATGTAAACGCAATCCAGCCATCGTGTTTGCATTCGCAGGCCAACATCACGCAAAACGCCGCCCCCTCTCTCCCGATCTGTCAGAAGAACAGAGCGCTAGTGAGACTTGTACATTTATTTTGATTTGTAAAATGTCCCGCGACTGAAAATAGTTTTCAAAAGAAAACCCACCACTTCAGGTCTACTTTGCACCACAGACCTATTTAAATATTGCGCGGGAAATACAGATCCGATTGGTTACCCAGATCGAGAAGTCAGCTGATGTTGCCAAGTGTAAACGCGCCATGTCCTGATTGACTGATGATCCGATCTGCTTGATCAGATCACGGAGATCGCATATTATTGCCAAGTGTAAACGCAGCCTTTGTCTGGTCTCGTCTATGGCTAAGAATGTATCCGTTTGGATTGTGACTTACCTGAAGATTACTTACCTCTGTGATCCTATCCTCATCCTGGTATCCAGTCTCCAACTCCTCTTCTCCTTTCAGTCTCCTCCTACAAGACAACAGGAAAGTGTTCAGTATCTCTCAGTGATGGTCTAATAGTGTGTGTGTGTGTGTGTGTGTGTGTGTGGCTACTCACCATTCCTCTCACGACTCCGTATTTTCACTGCTGCCATATGTTTGATTCAAGTCATTTAATAATAATAAGTTTTTTCTGGATTGTTTGAAAATGTACCGGTCTGTCCAGTGTGTGTTTCCCTGATATCAGACCTCATCTTCATGGTCTGGTTCTGTGAATTGTTGTTGTTGATATGACAATTGACAGTACAAATTCCTTTGAATCTTGAGTGAGGCAAAACACACATTTTGTGAGGAAATAGAAGAGGTTGCACCAAAACATGAATGAATATATCTGAAAATATTAATCCAAAATAATGCTGCATAAGGTTTTATTTGTGCACTTCTGTAGCTTTTTGAGTCCCATGCTTGAAGAATAATTGCAAGTCATTTCACTCAAAAAAAAAAGTTTAAATTAGTGTATGAGGACCATTTTGGCATTTTAAGATGCATTTTAAGATGTATATGCATTTATAAAGCTCCTTACAGTAATTTTAATTGTGGAAACTTTAATTGCTCTTTGCACCAAGTTATCAATGCAAGGCAAATAACCCAGAGGTCACTGGCTTGTTGTTTACACTTCTGCAGACACACAGTCCACATTTTTTAGTAAAGAAACTCTGAAATCAGACAACCAGCATTTGTGCTCAATTGAGGAATCTGTATCGAACTGATTAAAATTTTCTTCTCACATGACAGTCATTCATGGGTTGCTGGGTGCTGGCTCATTTGTGATCTCACACTATACTGCCTCTGCACAGTTTATATTTATTTTAAACCACTGGTGTGCAATACCACAAGACACTTCAGATGAACAGACTTCAACATATCAGGGGTCATATGCTAGCAGACAAGGTAAGATTATTTTTGTCTCTAAATCAATCAACCAGTAATTAAATGCATATAGTAATAATGTATATAATAAAGTACCTGATGAGATCAGTCTGTCACTAAAGGATGTCTTATGTAACATAGCTATTTATCAAATCATAGCAATTTTTTAATCAAAATGCTTTAAATGTCCACATCACACCAGAAAAAAATTTATACTTATTTTTATAGATCACATACAACAGATTATTCTTCTGCAAAACAAAAAGTTTCTGCTTTTGAACTGACAGGAAATCAATCCTGGGCACATATTATGTTCCCAATATCAAGAAATTAGAAATTTTGTGTTTTAACATTTGGTATATATATATATATATATATATATATAAACGCACTGTCATTTAACAGGTCTTTCAAATGTAAATATTTTGGAAGTTTGAGCAGGATTCCTATCATTAAGCTTCTACAGATCATCCTCATTTTCAAAAATGCTTTATAGTTTAACAGCAGCTGGATTATATTGCATTCATGCTTTCTGCCACAGAATATGAACATAGCCACTACCCTGCCAAGCCCCCTCACAACTCATGTGCTTAATACAGCCCAAGGAGTTCCTGGAGCCAACATGACCATTAGCCTCCATCGCCTAAACCCCATTTCATCCGAGTGGTACTTACTCACAACAGGGTAAACAAATAATCAAAGTGTTGTGTCAAATTATTCCACTGATTAACTGATTCCACTGATTAAATGTTTTCAGTTATGTATAAACCAGACTGATTTTATTCATTTTTAAGATGATGTAGCGGTTTAGTCAATTCCAAGTAAATCAATTTCAAAAGTTTCTCAAGATCATGAAAATAAAAAATTTATCAATTATAGGATAACTAATGACGATGGACGGTGTCCTGGGTTAATCACAAAAGAAAGCTTCATTGCAGGTGTGTATAAAATGCATTTTGAGACTGGAAAATACTGGGATGCCTTGGGGGAGACATGCTTCTATCCATATGTTGAGGTATGAAAAAATTAAACTTCCATTTTAAACAGTTAATTATGTGTATGTTTTATTTTTGTATGTTTTATTTGTATGTATTATTTGTACATAATTATATGTATTTTTTAGCAAATGTTCAGACACTTTCACACCACTTTGCACATTTTGTGTGTCTCTTACATGACTCACTCAGTTAAATTCATAGTTTTATCATAACATTTAAATCTGGTGTTAAATAATGGCGATATACAAAATGTGCAGACCAGAGTGTCCCTGGGACCAGAACTGAAAACCACTAGTTTACAGTCCTTCTAATAACAACTGTTATTGTGTTAATATTATCGTGTTTCTCTCTCTCTTTCCAGGTCATCTTCACCATTAGTGACCCTTCACAGAAGTACCATGTTCCTCTGCTTCTGAGCCGTTTCTCTTATAGTACATACAGAGGAAGTTAGACGTAAAGTTCATGCATCTTTCAGTGCCTGCACAAGGAAAATAATGAAGAAAATAATGTTTTCTCTACTGTTGTAACACTTCATAATAGTGTTCAGTTTTGTTGAAAAGGAGTTAATCGTTTACTAAACATTTAATACACATTTCTAGATGATTAAAATGTGTTAATTTTACAAATTTGTTGTCATCTAAAAATGTTTTTGTAAATCTTGAAATCATCACAAACTAATAATTAAATACATAATTAGTAGATATATTATGAATCACTTATTTCACTTAAAGGGGTCCTATTATGCTCTTTTACAAAGTCTTGATTTTGTTTTAGGGGTTTACTAGAACATGCTCTCATGCTTGGTGGTTCGAAAAACGCATTATTTTTCACGTAATTTACATTATTACAATACCTTTCTCCCTATACAGTTATACAGTTTAATTTATTTATACCATAGTCTCATAATTGAAGTGTAAATTCTGCAGATTACATCATTGTCCAGTACTGTCAGCAATTTCTAAAAATGTTTTTTCATAATTGTAACATACATATTTACATACATAATTATTCAGGTGCATGTGTTATAACTTGTGAAAACTTGAAGCTACAGCAGCACTTCTTCTTCGCTGTAGTCTTGTCTGATGCACTCAACCAAGCGTTCTAACCATGACCTCACCCCCCAACCATTTGAATTTCCGTAAGCAGGAATTATTTTAATGATATTCTAATGGGCCGCTTTGTGACATCACAAAACCCACTGGTATCTTGATACACATTGCTTGATCATGAATAAATAACAACCAAATCCCTAGTAAATAATCAGTAGCCTATTTAATTTGTTGATTATAAATTTTACAATTTATATAATTGAGTACTTGTATGTTACACTGTAACAAAATGCTGTAAAACTAGCAAATAATGTTTTCCATTAAAACAGTACAGTGCATTCTGAGCACCTGTTTCCTATAAAGATATTTACTGTGATATATTCTGAATTAATGGTATGGCAATGGTGCCGCGAGAGTGGCAGCCTGTTACAGCTCAGTAGCTCTGACCTGTTTTTGTGTATTCTTTGTGTTTAGTGTGCTTTCTTATGTGCTTTCTTATGCATGGAGGATGGATGAACAACTGTGGAGACTAGTATTATGTCTGTCCCTTATTGTTGGACTATTTTACACCTCGTCGGGAGACCCAAATAGCCAGAACCCCATTGTTTACACCCGGGAAGATCTGTTAGCAGCATTAGGATACTCCCAACAGAAGGACTGGTGATCCCCAATGACATTAGGAGGAGGAGAGGATCAAGAGCAGGTTTTAAATGTCGGGAGCGGAAACGACGCTACAAACCATGCCTTCCATCTATTATTATGGGGAATGTGAGATCTCTCCCCAACAAAATGGAGGAGCTAACAGCGCTAACCAGACTGCAGCGGGAGTATCGCGAATGTAGCATCATGTGTTTTACAGAGACCTGGCTGAATGGACTGATTATGGACTCGATTGCTACTTTGGATGGCTTCCACCTTTTGAGAGCGGACAAGAGAGTTAAAGAAAGTGGTAAGAGGAGGGGTGGGGGAATCATGATGTTTGTGAATAACAGATGATGTAATCCGAGTCATATTAGTGTTAAAGAGCAATGTTGTACCAAGCACATAGAGCTGCTAGCCATTAGCTTACGGCCGTATTATTTACCAAGAGAATTCTCGCATGTCATTGCGATAACTGTTTACATACCTCCTTCGGCCAATGCTACAGTGGTTTGTGAGCTCCTACACACTTTTGTATCACAGCTGCAGACATCGCACCCATAATCCATCCTTCTTATCTCTGGTGATTGTATCCATGCTTCCCTGTCTACTATTCTTCCCACCTTCAGCCAGTATTTTAAAATGCTTGTACTAGAGATGATAAAATATTGGATCTTATGTATGTAAACACAGAGGATGCGTATGTCTCTGCACCCCTTTCTCTGCTTGGTCGCTCGGATCATAATCTTGTCTACTTGAGGCCTGTTTACATTTCTGTGGTAAAAAAACATCCCCCAACCACAATGCATGTGAGGAAATGGTCTGATGAGACTAGTGAGGCGCTGAGAGATTGCTTTGAGACCACAGACTGGGAAGTTCTTTGTAGATCACATGGGGAAGATATTGATAATATGAATAATTGTGTTACAGATTACATACATTTTTGTGTGGAGAACACTGTGCCTACGAAGAGGGTTCGGTGTTTCCCCAATAATAAACCCTGGGTGACTTCTGAGCTCAAGACCCTGTTGAAAGAAAAGAAGAGACTTTTCAGATTGGGGAATAAAGAAGAGCTGAGAATGGTGAAAAATCAACTCAGAAGGGAGATAAGGAAAGCAAAAGTCAGATATAGAGAAAAGGTGGAGGAGTGTTTTCGATGAGGGAGGTCTGGAGAGGATTTAGGACAATCTCTGGCCATGATCAAGATAGTGGAAGGGATATAATTTCTGGTGATCAAAATAGGGCGAATGAATTAAATTAGTTTTTTCAACAGATTTTATTCTGGCTCTCTTCCCTCCTCTCCCCCCTCTAACCGGAATCCAGATCTAGTAACATCTTGCTCTCATCCCCCCACTGCTACTCATTACATACGTACACAGGATTCATTCCCATCCTTCCGTCATCCTCAGCGAGGATCATCTATTACTTCAACTTCTACTAATATGTTTTTTTTACAGTAGATCAAGTGAGGAAAGAGTTAAGGAAGATCAAGGCAAGAAAAGCCACAGGTCCGGATGGTATCACCTCGAGATTGCTTAAAGACTGTGCAGATCAGCTCAGTGAGGTAGTTCTGCATGTATTTAACTTGAGCCTTCGTCTGGAAAGAGTTCCGGTCCTGTGGAAGACTTCCTGTGTTGCTCCAGTTCCAAAAATTGCAAACCCCAAAGGAGCCTAGCTATTTTAGACCTGTAGCTTTAACTTCTCACCTTGTGAAGACCATAGGAAGGATCATTAGCCGCATTTCCACTGTCGGGCCAGTGCTTTAAAGGGCCGGGCGGGGCTAATAGCCTCGGACCTGTAGCACTGAGGCCAAAATCATGCTATGTTTCCACCGTCGGGCCAGAAGCTCCGCTGCGCTTCACTAAAACCCGCCCTTTACACGGTTTGTTTAGAGGCTCCGAAACAACGTCACGCAACCCCATCATTTCACCAACAAAGAGAAGTTATCAGAAAACGAATAATAAATAAGTCACTGGAACTAGCGCGATCACAAAACGAACATGATAAAACCGGCCGTTTGTTTGCATGCTTTGTTAAAGATTTAAATCCAAAAGCATTGATGTTTTACAATAATAAGTGATACATTGATCATAATGAATTAATTTATCAGGATTTAAAATAATCACACAGAATAAAGCGGTATAAACATAGCCTACCTACTTGTTCAGTCGAGTCTGTTTCTGTTTATTTGTAGTCACAGTTATATACGTCACATTTAGAAAGAATGAACATTTCTATATTTTTATAAAAGCTCCCGAACAAAAACCATTAGGCTATTATATTTTATGACATCCGCAAAGCTAAACTCTGGAGACGAGACTTATGACAGATAAAATATGTTACTAAGTAAATACACGATTGTGATAGAGAATAAGAAGCTTACGTCTGATTTCTTTAAGCGGTTCTATTTACCATGTTTACTATCGTAATGTTAATGGCTAGTGTGCATAGCCTTTTGCATTGCTTATAAATATCTCTGCCTTGTATGGTGATCATAATCCACATCGGATCAAGTTATTTCAAACACTCGCTGCTGTCTGAAAGTGAGTTTTGAACTAAAATTATTTTAAAAGTCTTTAAAGCTGGTGTTATAGCTGTTAACTTTATGAAATGATCTGTGGCGCTGATGCTTTCCAGACATGGAGAAACTCCGCCTTTGTTCATGTTTTTTTTATCTGTCCAGTGCTTTCAATACTATACGGCCATCGTTGCTTGAGGGGAAGCTATTGCGAGGTGGAGTTGATTGTCGTCTGGTTGCATGGATCATCAATTACCTCACGGATAGACCACAGTATGTGAGGTTACAGAATTGTGTGTCTGATATGGTGGTCTGTAGTACGACCATCTTTGTATTAATGCCAGTAAGACAAAGGAGATCTTGATAGACTTTCATAGGAAGGCATCAAGGATTACATCGATGACCATTCAAGGTCTGGATATTGAGAGGGTGACAACTTATAAGGACTTGGTTGTTCACCTTAATAGTAAATTGGACTGGTCCAACAATATAGAGGCTCTGTATAGGAAGGGGCAAACTCGTCTTCATTTGCTGTGGAAACTGAGATCCTTGGGAGTGTGTAGGCCACTGTTAAAAGTATTTTTATGACACTGTAGTGGCCTCTGTGATTTTTTTTTATGCAGTCGTCTGTTGGGGAGCAGGAAGTTCAGAAAGGGACAGGTAGAGACTTACGCCCAATCCCAATTCTACCCCTTAGCCCTTTCCCTTTGTCTCGATTCTCTTTTGGTTGGGGGGGTAGGGGTAAGGGGAAGGCCCAGATAGCCCTTCAAATTAAGATTTTTCAGGACTACACTTCAAACAAAGGGGTATGAATTATCTCAGCGTAAACCGGCTACAGCGGCAACATGGCTGCCCGAGCGAACAAAAAGAACCATAAATGTGAGCATTTTTGGCATTAATAAAGATTTTAATGAAAAGAAACCTTTTCTCAAATATTGCCAATTCGAGAGAGAGAGAAAGAGAGAGAGAGATGAAAGTTTGTGTGCATGCGTGTCTGTGCGTCTCTCCCTACAACGAGTGAGTTTACTTCAAAAACAGCGATTTTATCCTCTCGTTGCTGGAAAATATAATGTAGCGATTCAATATTGAACTGTTATTAATAAAAATTGCGGAGCAGCATTGACAAGTTTCTTTTCTCCTGGATGTTTGAGCTGCATGATTTCCGATATATGTGTGTGTGTGTGTCAGTAAGCAGCACATTAATATAGAACGGTAATTAAAGGCTCTAATGCACACCAGTATAGGTGTGTGTCTTGTAGGAGCTAGACGACGACACGACGTATGATGATGTGTGACGGCATAGTAGTGGTGTCCCAATCCTTAGGGGAATATTGTAGTGGAAGAGGTATAAAATAGAATTGGGATTGGGCCTTAATAGACTGGTTAAAAGGGCCAGTTCTATTCTGGAATGTCAAC